GCAAATTCCCATCTCAATTGATCTGAAATCAGTAATATGTGTTTCATTCAATCTCATGTAGTCTAGCTTTAGAAAATACAGGTTTTAGGTGTTTTCCTGTTTTTTTTAGTGTAGTCTCCTTCTTAGTCGATAATCATTCCACTTGTGTGATTTGCGTATGCTACATCAATGTATGCTACATCACTGTATGCTTGCAGTTACAAGTTTTCAAACTACTACATCAATAAATAAGGTGATAAACTAAATTAATGACGGAATGATAAAAACAATTAGATTTAGCCTTCAAATAATGTACAAAAAAGATACATTTCATCTCTGTAATACACATATTAGATCTAAGGTTTTGGGATAGTACCTGGTGGAGGCACATAGCGTGTTTGTGTGTGGATTACCAATAGAGGAAGCCTCCGTTGGTTTCTAAGTGCTCCATCAAATCCTCGCCAAAATCTGAAATGTACAATTCTAAACACCTTGTGGTGTGGTTATATTTAATTAAATGCATCATTGGATCCGAATTGGGTTTTAATCTGAAAAGTTTTTTGATTTTATTTGTAACCAAAATTTAACTTTCCGCTGCCTTTAAACAGTTACAAAATTCTATAAAACCCAACACCAATCAATTTTAGGCCCTTTAACACACTGATTTTGTTCTTCTACTTGGATTTCTGATAGTGGAATCACACTTTTTTCTTCTACCAAACACTTATGGAAGTAGTGTACGTGGAATGTAGGATGGATGTCGTTCATTACGGGCGATAAGTCTAACTTTTATGCTTGTAGACCCACCCAACTAAAAAAAATGAAAGGCCCAATGAAAGGGGGACTAAGTTTCCCTCACTTCCCGAACCTAATCATGCCCTTCCAAGGGGATACCTTAAACATTATGCAATCACCCACTTGGAACTCAATAGGCTGTCTTTTCTTGTTAGCATAACTTTTCTATCGATCTTGATCCGCCTTTAAACGCTCTCGAATTGACTTTATTTTTCTGCTGTCTCTTGCATGATTTCTAGACTGACAAACTGTTTCTCACTCGCATCTAACTAACATAAGGGGTCTTACATTTTCGTCCATACAAGACTTCAAATGGTGTTATCTTGATGCAAAAATGATAAATGTTGTTGTAGAAAAACTCCATGAGGGGTAGATAAGAATCTCAGTTCCCACCGAAGTTGATAGCACATGATCGAAGCATATATTTGAGGGTTTGGATGGTTCCTATCACTCTAGTCGTCAGTTTAAGGGTGATAAATAGTGTTTAATTTCACTTTGGTCGTCGATTCAAGGGTTTGTCTTCTTAAATCCTCCAATGATTACTTCTCCACACCTTTTATCCCTCTCAATGGGACTTCACACACACACACACACACACACACACACTATAACTTTCAGTCGAACCCCAAATGAGAGAAGATTTAGAGACTCCCTCCTTTAGCCTTGTATTTACATCATTAGTCCCTATAGATAGGACTTTTTCTCAACACCACCCTTAAATCATTTAATTACTCAAAAGTAGAACCTTGTTATTACATCATCATAATCTCAAATCGCTTAAAGTGGTAAGATGAAACTACCATGTAGTGGGCTGGTTTGACCAATCTGGTCACTTCATGCCAAACCGCATGGTTTTGAAAAATTCCCAAACCACCCTTACGATTTGGTTTGTGGTTTATGGTGTTGTAACACCCCAGAATCCATATTTGCATATTCATGTATTTCATATATCAAAAAATACATATACACATTCGGTCCCAAATATATATATATATATATATATACAAAATCTACATTATAAAAGTAGCTACCAATTTTTTTTCACAAAATCTTTATACAAAACTTGTACTTATACATGTAAGTACAATTAACAACACATTATCCCCAAAATCCATAAGCAGACAATCATATACTTTTTTTATAATTTCTCTTTCTCCTTATCAACTGGTTGCCAGACCTATAATGCACATTCTAAAACACCAAAATAAGGGTTAGACCTTGAGGTCTAGTGAGAAATCCCTTTTATGCAATTACATGGTGAATATCACCAAAACCCTTTTATAAAACTCATATTTGTAATGAATAACAAATATATAATGTTTTGACAACACAATCCTCTTCTGCCACATCAAACCACAAAATGCTCATTTATTGCATAACCCATGAGCTCAATGTTCCATATAAACCAAACCATAATTTCCTCATAACACCTTGGATGAGACAAACCCCATTTCCTCGTAACACACTGGTGTGATCAATCACACACTGCATCGCATCAAAATCTCGGAAGCAAGACCAACCAGATCCCCTCTGGTCCTTAAGGACTAGAGCCCCATTTGGACTTGTGACGAAAAGTGAGGCCATCCATAAGTTTGGAAGAGCAATCAGAGCATCTGGTTCTAAAGACCAGCGCCTATGGTCCACAAGCATTCAGAGTTAGAGCCCCTTTGGTTGAACTATACTATGGATTCTAAGTGCCAAATATAAAGACAAAATCTAAAGATGATTTAATCCAAGAGGACTTGGTCATAAATTTGCCTGGAACCAAGAGCTCGGATACAGAAGGTATGTAGACCGAAGTCTTGTGCGTAAATAGCCAAGTACTCTGATACATAGCTCAACTCCTAGACGCAGAGCCTTCACATAGTACATACAAAGCCTCTACATAGTACATATAGAGCTTCTGAGTCTTCTACTTAGCCCATCTATGTGAAGGTTCCATGGCTCATCTTACAAGCGTTCTAATATTCAAATGAACAACCAAAAGTAAATTCATCCAAAAGCCAGACCAACCCAAAAGCATGACCAACTCAAAAGCACGACCAACTCAAAAGCATGGCCACCCAGAGCCCCTCTGGACAACCAGAGCCTCTGGTTCGACTATCCAGAGCCTCTTGAGTCAAGAAAATGTTAAATACATAAAGATCGAGTACCAACTACAACCATAGACCCTCTGGTTAAACATGAAGATCAACTAGAGCCCCTCTGGTTCTTTTAAAACAAGTTCCCACCATTAAAACAATAATTAGAAGTAAGATCCAACCAGAGCTCCTCTGGTCTTACCATCCAGAGCTCCTATGGTTCCTCAATAAACGATTACTATCAAAACCACAACTTATCACATCAATAGGATGTGACAACCTCAAGTCCTCGCATCACACAAATACGATAACTCCATGTCATCACATCACAAGGATGCGATAACAATAACTTCTCGTCAAAACCCAGATTTCACAACTCATTGCGTCCGTCCCAAATTCATCACATTATATACACCATTCAGAAGCAAGACCTTTCCAGCAGAAGACCACCCAGAAACAAAACCTTCCCAGCAAAATACCACCCAAAAACGAGACCTTTCCAGTAGAATAACACCTAGAAAGAAGATCTTCCCAGTAAAAGACAACCAGAGCATGACCTTCCCAATAAAAGGCCACCTCAATCGCACAACCTTCCCAGTAAAAGGCCACCTCAACCGCACAACTTTACCAGTAAAAAGCAACCAGAGCATGACCTTCCCAGTAAAAGGCCACCTCAACCACACAACCTTCCCAACAAAAGGCAATCAAAGCATGACCTTCCCAGTAAACGGCCACCTCAATTGCAAATAATCAAAAGATCATCATTTCTAGAAATTGATTATGCCACCTTTATTTCCACACATGATATAATCAATGATAAAAATCCACCTTTTTGCCAACAATGACATCAAACTGTTTTATTTCAAAATCTTATATAAAGAACCATATAGTTCTTATACCCAATTTCCAAATAAGGAAAACTTTAAACAAAAACTCACCATCATGCTAAAAATAGCACATAATCATTCAAAAATACCCAAGTATGAAACCATATGAAATGAAGCTTTTAAAATAAAACTTATAATTAAAAACTCACTTTGATTCACAAAGAAGCAGATAACAGCACAAAAATTCAAAGAGAAATCACATAAATCAACTTGTACTTCTCCCCCCCCTCCTTTGGTTTTGTTTTTTTCTCAAACCCAAGAAGACATAAAAGCTTTTTCTTTCTTTCTCTCCACCCCAAATCAATGAGATAAGATAAAATATCTCATAATAAATTCATTTAAACAAACATAAGACGGTGGAGATATTTAAAACATTTCTTCTCACGTCCTTCCATGAGATAACACAAATATCTCATATAAAATAATTATAAACCATAAGAGGTGGTGAGAGAAATTTAAAATCATTTAAGCACATAAACAAATTAAACCTCTCAACTTACCACTATAATTTAAACTACTCACTATAAATCGAACATGTTTTGACTAATTATCTTATATTAGTTAAATGTGTGTAGTGTGCCCCTTGTCAGCAGAGTTTCTGGATCCGCCACTGTGTAGATGGCAATCAGAGTTGAATTTCAAGAACACTTTTTTGATTCCTACTACTTTGCATACCAAATTTTCTGTAGAACATAATATTCACCTCTCTAGATCCACAAAAACCAAGAATCAATCGTTGAAACAAAGTCAAAGTCTTGATTTCTTAGATGTCCCAACACTTCATGTCAGATCTTACGGTGACCGATTGTTCATGAGCTCCAACATAGTAGAGTTCATCTCTAATTCTCCAAACTCGGTTCTTAATTTCCAAACTCAACTCTAGAATTCCATATCATATTCTTTGGAAAGGGAAATGAAAGCTGATTTTCAAATCAAGATCCCTTTTGAAAGAAAAAAAAATTATTTTCTCGGTATTTAGCTTCCTACCTAAGGTTGACCCCAAGCCTCAAACGATTACCGCAAACTTCAATTTTTCTTACATCAACATCTAATCAAGTATCGATATCACAAGGATTTCCCATAGAACAATCAACGAGTATCTTCAAACAATTGAAAAATGGCTTCCACTTTAGACAACAACACCAACCTTGGCTGGGCTCATCGTGTATGCATTCACTATTGCTTCTTGTATGTTTTCTTAAAGTAACAAACGAAAAAAAAAGTACGAATTTTATTAGTGCCAACAGTCCATGCATAAAGTGTTAACTTTTGTCAATGTAGACATCATTAGCAATTAAAGACAATCCTTCTAGCATTTGTTCAACAATTATAAAAACAATAACACGTTCAATTACTAATCAATGGATCAAACATGGTCCATCCTTAATAACGTCTTTTAAAAGATGACCAGGTTTGCTCCATTGTTCCCTGAAAACATAAGAGAAACTCCTTAGGCCTTCTTAAATCATCCGTAGGTATGACTTCTCGAGATCAAGTCACAATGATACTTTTTTGTGCCCCAGCTAGTTTCATCTTGTTACAATATATATATAATTACTCGCAATTCAAGTGGATGAGAGTGACCCTAGCTTGTAACTGATTAGGGGCCAGACCAAATGCCTCCACCTCCATCTGTAACGTATGACAAGCACGGCAATGGTACCAGGCATAACCCCCGACTTCTAAGATCTTTTGTTGCCTCTTCGTTTTCGTCTATCATCACTGAAACCTGATTGTAAACAAATATAATTATATCTAACCTTTTGTTAGTATTTTAAATATTTGATCATATGTAGTTTATAATCGTGTTAATACAAAATCAAGATGGGACATAATATATCTTGGTCACGAGATGGATTTTCGACTTATGATTTGTATAAAATCCTAATATTTTAGCAAAACTGATAAAAACATCTTTGCATTTTCACAATTATTTGTTATCCATATCATAGTTTCCCTATATTTCTCTTCCTTTCAAATATCCCCATATATAAAAAACCAAATGTATACAATTTCGTCTTACCCCTTGCTTTGATGTTCTATTGGCTTTTTGTGTTGACTTCATATATGGCACGCTCAACGTCTGCAAAATTTCACTAATACTTAGAGAATACCCAAATTCGTTCTAACTCAAATATAGATATAACTAATTAAAAGACGTATATTGTGAACTCCAAATTAATAGGAAGTTAAATAAATATCGAACACCACATATATATAAAGTTATGTTGTCGTCACCAATCAAAATAATATTATCATGTTTCCCCAACTATGGAAACCATCCTAGTCCTAGGTTATGCTTTTAATCTTGTTGCCGTTTATTTGGAGAAAAAAATGTCAAAGAGCACATGAATCACATGTTTTCAAAAGGTTCTCCACGACATACTCCATTGGTTTCTCATCTATGTTCCTCCCTAGCAACACTAATTGATTATGTGCCACAATATGATAACACTCTAGTTGTGTGAGAATATGTGAAACCCCATAATATTTACTATTTAGAAGAATTTTAAAGGGAGAAGAAATGTTTTAACATATATGGAGGATAAATAATTCAAGTGTAGTCGATGTAAGACTTTAACATGCCTGTTTTAACGAAAGCTAGACAAACACATATCAGAGTGATAAAAGGAACCCTAGGTGGTACTATATATGTAATATAGGTTTCATAATTGTCTAAAGTTATATTTGTGCTCTCACTCTCATTAAAACACATGTATTGACATATACTTCCTCTCTCTCTCTCTCTATACATATACACACACTATATATATAGAGAGAGACATATGTATGTACATGAATACACACACATATATATTTTCATTCTGTAATCAAAATTTGCTTGTACAAAAGGTTAAAAACCGGCAAAAAAAAAACCTATGGTTCCATCAATATATATTCTTGAAAAAATAAAAATAAAAGAAATTAAATATTGCTTTCTCAAGAGTTAGAAATTTCTACTAATTATATTAGTTTAAAGAATCTCTAAACATAACATGTAGAGAGAATGCAAATAGGAGGGGACAAGTTAGTGAATAATACCAAAGTGCCCTTAGCTCTAACATTTTATTTGTAGTTACAAAGGTTATGTACTTAAAAATTAATGAATAAGGCCGTACAAATTTAAATTACAAATTTATCAAATAAGACAAATAGTTTAGAGAAATCGTAGAGAAAACATCACCATTTTTTTATCGGATTTAACAAAATAGTATTTGAAAAAACCGAATAAATAAATATCGAACGATTGAAACATGTAAATATGAGTCAAGAAAAGACATAAGAAAGCCTTAATATTCATTCAAATAAAAACAACCGATCTTAATTAAAAAGTTAAATGATTAAATTATAATTATAATAATTAAAAAAAAGACATAAATAATTAAAGATGGATGTAAAGTAGTGAATAATTAAATTGTAGTTGTGGGAACCAAGAAGAATGTTTTGAAGAAATGGAAGCAAGAGTCGTACCTCGACTTGGTTTTGCAGAAATTTGATATATCCAATAGCCTCCATCAACACAGATGCTGTATCTGTCTGCAAATCGATTTAATTTAAAATGGATTGGTATGGGTCAAAAAGCACTTCTGATTAATTAATACACATATTAAACTGCAGTTTTAAAACATGAAGTGGTGCACTGAGATTCATAATATATATATATATATATATATATATATATATATATAACTCGTTTAAAAGTTCTCATTGATTTTAATATTGGAAATAACTCGTTTAAAATATAGAAAAAATGGAATGTGTTTTTAGGGGATTTAGGGATAAAAAGATTGAAATGTTTTCATGAAAGATAACAAATATAAAACTCTTAATGTTTACAATACTAATTTAAGAATATATATATATATATATATATATATTATATATAAAAAAATGATTTATGCAGGAGAAACTAGAAAGCTACCAACTTTTTTAGTGATGGGAGAAGACAGAAAACACTACCTTCCCAAAAGGTGCCACCAACTGTTGGAGGGCTGCAATTCTATCCCCTAACTTCTCCTTTCTCACCTGGTTAACACATGATATTTATACTCAGATAATATGTGGGGTATGTACGTATACATATACGTACACGTACATATGTATGCATATACGTACATATGTAAGCATGTATTAGAATTGTGTATGTATGTACGCATATACATACACATGTACGTATGTACTAAGATCGTTGTACCATATTTATTCAATATGTTCACATTCTAATACATTTTATGTAGAAAACATAGTTTTGTTCAAATGGGAAAAAATTATAAAACACCTAAGAAGAAAACTGATACAAACCAAGGAGTACCAAGACCTTGCAATAATACAACTGAGACATGTATCATAAGGATTCAAATTGACCACTAAAAACTGGGTGATCAAAGCCAGAAATAAAAGAAAACCTAGATAAATGTTGGTGTTAACTTTTTCTACCCAAAGAAGATAACTGTTGTCCACTCTAGGGTTAAAGAAAAGTCATTTCACACCCAAAAGTCAATTCTAAACTATTTTCTGGATGGAAGTTGTAGAAGATAAAAATGGAGCTTTCTAATTATGGAATGTTTTAATCAAAACAAAGATGCTACTTATTTTATGCTGAAAAAAGGGGTTACTTTACTTTTGCATAACAAGCCAAGCTTGTCATAGAATTTAGTTTCTATCACCAAAATGTTTAATTAGTATTCTTGTAGTTTTATATAGACCAATTCAAAACTATTTTTGAATGGAACTAATAGAAGATAAGCAACGGGCTTTAGTTTTAGTTACGGAATGCTTGTATAATCACCTTAAAAGGTGCACAAGAAGCACGCGGCTCCAATTTTGATTTCTTCGGTATTGTGGCTCGTGGAGCATTTGTGTCCATGTAATTGCTAGCTGGTCTCTTTGCTTCTGTACAGCTGGTTCTAGTGTTGAATGCTGATGATATCTGAAATTAGTTGAAACATGTATAAAGTTTAGTTTGAACTTTGAATCATCATAAGTATTGTCAAAGAACCTAATAAGTCTATATATATTAAAGACTGCATTTTGGCCTGAATCAAAGTAAAGAGATTAATGTGATGTATAAAGTTGAAGGTACCATTTGAGCAGGAAAAGAAAAGAGAAATAAAAAGAAGACAACTTTTACTTGATTAGGAGATATTATTTATTCGTGAAAAAAGTGGGAAGACGTTACAAAAAGAGTACAGATAAAGTCCTAGACCATGTCACCCATTTCCTAGAAATTAAAGATCGACACCAATGTTATTCTTATAAATTTCGGGAAACCGCATCTCAGAGGTAGAACTTTTGTTTCTAACGTACGTGATCAATTGGATGTTGAATTTGAACTTAAGATCTTGAAGTTATCTCGGACAAGTTTAGATTCTTGACAACTACTTTTGGTTTATTTGGAAACTCAGAAATTTGTTGTCACAAAAATAAAAGAAACGGAAAGGAAAATAAACCAGGAAGAGAGGAAATCTAATCACAAGATGGAAAAAAATTAACCTAAACAAAACCTTCTAAATGACTAGAAAATCAACACCGAACTAGATGAAATGATCATCGCCATTTGTTTACCTATAACCATTGGGTTAAATTAACCTAAATAAAGCATTAATTAGTGCTAATTCATGAAATAATCAAGGCCATCAAGCATTTAATTAGATTGGTGTTTTCTAGACTCATCACTCAGGTGTATGTGTGTGTGTATATATATATATATATATATTAATGCTTAGGATCCCTTCTCCTTTGTCTTCTTAAAAAATAGATGGAAAGAATAAGACAAATAAAATAAAGAGAAAGAAAAAACTCACTTTACTAGGGCAAATTACTGGCCTGTGATTTGGTTGATGCATCTTATCAAGGCCATATGATAAACAAGTGTCTTTGAAAAAGCTTCCAAGTTGATGAGGATTGAATGAATAAGGATGGCTAAAATTCCCGTTCAATCTTGGCGAACCGAAGAGATCCAAAGCTGGCAAGTTCATATCAAAAGAGTCCGAAGAAATTGCTGCTGGGGACTGATTCAAATTCGAAATATTTATCGTTGGCAAAATCTGGCTAAAAGTTCCTCTAGATGATATCCGATTAGAACAATTTTGGAAATGATTATTTGGAGTAGTATCATCTGGGAATTGATCTATAAGCTGACCACCTTTTATTTGACACCCATTGGAGAATGTTCTAAGCAACAAATCCTGATTGTTATTGTATCCAGAAGAGGGGTTTAAGTGCAAATCTTCAATACTGGATGTTGGGCTACTGCTAATCATTTCCGAAAATTTTGGATATGATTCGGAGCCTGAGAATTCATCTTTGATTCTTGCAAGACGACGCAATTCGTGGGTCATGAAGTTTTCGACAGGATTGCTTGTTACATTAATGCTGTTGTTCCAGGGTAATCCCAAGACATGTACCAAAGGACTACTGCTAGTGTTGTGACAAGGTGCAAAATCCATATTACTGCCTAGCTGTTGCTTCAGATCTCTAGAGTTCGTATCATTGCTTGTACTGTTCCTGCATAATTTAGTGCAAAGCACACATGAACACACAAAAAATTTCCTATAGTTGCGGGTAAATGTGGAATTAGATCAAAACCCTAATTAGAAATCGATGAAATTGAAGTAAGAGAATACAATAAACAAGTTTATCCATATATAAAAATAGAGAAACCTCCCATATATGTGTGTGTGGTTTCTTGGGACATAACCATGAATCATGAAAACAAAAGAATCAGATTAGTCTAGCGTTTAGTCACAATGACTGAAAAGAAGCAAATCTGAGTTTCCAAAAATAGAAACTAAAAGGGTTGGAGGGTGAGAAAGAGAGATGGAAAAACTTACAAGATGGGATTTTGGGACCACGAAAGTCCATAGCAAGAAGAGTCCAACACAGGCTGATGATCTTGATGATGTTGTTGATGAAAATTTTCAGACTCCATTGTTTATATGAATGACAGATTATAATATATTTGTGCTGGTGCTACCCTAAACACTTTATTTTTTGAAAATTAACATAAAAGAAATGGAAAGAACAAAGGGAAAAGGGAGTTGGCCAGGATCTTGAAAATCCCAAGAAAATGAACTAAGCTTTGTGATCATAAATTAAGATGGTGGAGAGAGCGAAAGCAAATTTACTAAAGAATCTCGACAGCACCCAGTTCAAATTCAAAGATTGAGGTGATGACACCCATAAATACTATACAAACACATGTAAAGATTTAACATCTCTCTCTCTCTCTCTCTCTGTGTGTGTGTGTGATTTTAGTTATGCTTTTTCATAGTATCTGCTGCACTCTTCACTCTTTTAAAGTCTCTTCTTAAAGCAACCCTTGAAAAAAGGAAAGCAAGAAAAAGAAATATACCCTTCAGCTTCAGAGACACCTCTCTTTTCACTGAAACTTTTTTGCACCCTCATCAATATATATTATAAACAAATACTGATCAATAAACATATATATATTATAGTCTCTTTCATCTCTCCAATGGCATGGGGTATGATGGGTAGGGTGGGGTGGGTTGGTGAGAAGAGGAAGGGGGGATTAGCTAAGCTGCAATTACAAGGAGATGATTGTGGTTGCTCCTACAAACACCATAATTATGAATCTGTTCTTTTGCCTTTGATCCCAAGGCTTTCAAAAAAGTATGAACCCCAGCCAAAATCATGATGGTTAAACCCCATGCTCTCTCAAGACACCCACCCACATGTGTGTAGGCCTATAGATGTGTTTGTGTATTTATGGATAGCTAGTGATCTACACCCATCAAACCGAAGGCCACTTTTCGGTCAACTTTCTCTAGCCGTTAACTAGTTATCAAAGGGTTGATATCGTAATTCTTCTTTAGAGAAGATAGAAGGCTATGGACCATCCGAATGGATTGAATTAAGCCGTCGATTAATTAGACCATTTAACGGCTACAATTGAGTTGATTGAAGCATACTCTTGGTCAATGATCATTTGGTAGGGTATCAAATTCAAACAATAGAGTGAAAATACGATATCCATTCCCTCCCAAGCTTCAATATCATTCTCCTTTGTGGTCCTTTCTTTCATTGACATTGAAGTCACTTTCAATGTTTTTTACACATTAAGAGTGATTAAAGTTATATCTATCATACTCCTCATACTATTAGAGCTAGCAAAAGACAATGTATTTCTTGATTTAGCCGGTGATTGCTTCTAGTAAGACGATGTAGTCACTTTTCTAGGCGATGTTTTGCCAAATTTCCGAGCTGATTTAAAACAATTCATGCGAAAAATGGCATTTGGACTTCTTTGATCTCTTTCTGAATGTGCTTCCATTCCGAAGTGTGAGAACTTAATTTCAATGACGAAGTTTTCTAGTTTCTTATTGTTTTCGCATAGCGTCGTTAATTTGATCCACTTGTAATAACTAGTGTTGAAACCCCTCTAACCTTATTGTTGGATTGAAATCTTGAAGGTCATTTTTCTCCTTGTTTCCAAATGTAAACTTTTCTATCATCTCTAGTCATTAATTTCGCGTGAAATGGCTATAAGCTCACAAGGGTTGTTTATATTGTTTTTATTTTTTTTTAATTAACCTGGATATCCAACCCGTTATACGAGCCGACTAATCTCATAGCGACCACCTGCTTTGCAGATAGTCTGGAGTCACCGCATTTGAACCTCCGTGGCCACAAGGGGATTTTTATTCCCCCTTGGATTTGAACGTGAGTCACCGCATTTGAACCTCCGTGGCCACAAGGGGATTTTTATTCCCCCTTGGATTTGAACGTGAGACCTCCAGGTACTTTTGACCTTTAGAGCCAAACTCAAACCATTCAGACACTACCCTTATGGTTATATTGTTTTATATATAACTAATGGAGGTTAAAATCATCAAACCCTCTTTTGCATTTCTTAAGTTTCAGATGACCGAAATGGAACTTGAAAACAAAAGACAATTTAGAACGGAAATCGCCGAAAAAACATTCTGAAAATTTATAGTTTTGTACCAGATAAAAAGCCAGGAAATATGACAAAAACAAACTTATAAAGACACGAAATGCTGAAGACAAAGGCAGGGTCACGCTATAAAACGACATATTTTTGGATACACATTTTAATGATGATGTCAATGACCTATGCATGACATCTTCATTTCTTACCACTTCATCATCTTTTTTTTCATAATTTCTTGAAAGTTTGTAACATGAAAGAAATGCAAAATCTCATCAGCTTTTTAATTAAATGTTTACTCGGTAAACATAGTAAGCGTTTGTTTAAACACTTACTCGGTAAGTGTTTATAGGTAGGATTGAACACTTTAACTTACTTTACAGAATGAGATTATAGTCCACCAAGACGGTATCATATTATATGCAACAATTTACACAGTAATTAAGCGTTTACCGAGTAAGAGTCATCACCGTCACTTAACGGATAAGACTTCATTTTTATTATTGTTCTTACCAGATAAAATTCTCGATCCTTACTATATCATTCGATAAGGTACCCGTTGATTGATTGGTTGATTAGATATTGAGTTTATTTTATACATAAATGATAAGTTGATGGATATCCATGATTACCTAACATATTAAATGAATAAAAGATAGATCATTTATAATTTATAATACTAATTAAAAAAAGACAGGATTGAGCTGAGTTAATCTGCCAAGTGTTATTTTTTGAATTTTATATAAAATTATTGTGTTAAATTTTATTTCAAAAATTATACTATTGTATAATAACAATTAAATACTTTTACGAGTTTATGTTTTAACTATTTTTTTTAAATTTATTTATTAATTTGACCCGTTATAGATAAAATGTATGCAAATTAATTTATTTTTAAGTAAATGAGTCAAAATTCACTTTAAAATAAAGGGTTTCATCACTGGATTTTCCGTCAGAAATTTCCGATAGATTTATGATGGATTTTCCATTGATGATAGTCAATCCTTCGGTATATCACAATCACCGGCCACATTTTCTCCAGCCATGAGATCCTAGCAATCTGCCGGTGATGGCTTTTCCCGGCAGATTACCAACATATTTTTTCTTCGGTGAAACCTTTTTGTTTTGTAGTGATTATTGCATTATTATTAAAAAAAAATTCCTGTTGTGAATCATTATATTAATGTTTTTAGATAAATAATAATTGTATCCATTTTATTATAGGCATACTATAAAGACGTCTTCAGTACACAATATTGACGATCTGACAAAGATTTTCTTTTTCCAATGAATTTCCATTTACTGATACAATCTTTTACATAATCGATTCCCTTTTGACTGTATGAATCGAAAGTTTATATTATATTGTAGGAATTATTTGTTGTATAACCTTCACTGCCTAGTGTAAGGTTATATTCACATATTTCACTGTAAGATTATATTATATCATAGTGTGAAGGTTTGTACTTTCCTTACCTTCTCACAAAAATGAGTTGTTCTAGAGGAACCCAATATATATAGCCACCTATATGTGTATAAATAGTAGCATGCACACAAAACACACATACACACACAAATATATATCTATATATATATATATATATCTATATATATATATATATATCTATATATATATATATCTATATATATATATATAGAGAGAGAGAGAGAGAGAGAGAATATACAAACCAACATATTGGTACAAACCATACAAATCAATCTCAACCGTCAATTTGTTCTAATGAATATGTGGTCTCATAAATGTCTAGATTGTTTCATAATACAAAGTGTTAATCATAACTAATATGAACTTTAACCATTTTTTTTATATATATCTAGATCATAATAAATGAATTCTCATCATTCTCGTAAATATCTCAATTGATTAGTTTGTATGGTTTGTAACAAATGCATGATTTATATTTGAAACCTCATATATAGGCCCATTCATTTGTTAACAAAGAAATAGTACAAACTTTCTTAACAGTCTTTTTCCTATATTAATATTACATTCTTTAATTATCATATTATTTAATTATTTCATTATTTAATTATCTCATTCACTTAATTGTTTCACTTATGAACTTGTTTAAACTTCCTTAATTTTTTGGTTTACCTATGAACTTTAGCAAATTTTTTGGAACAACTAAGTTCATACACGAAACAACATTATGGATTCTAAACAAATTAAGATCATTGCCATTCACCTTTGATGTAACACCCAAAAATTAGGACAATAAAATTCCAACTTGTTATTGAATATCAAAATATGAGTTTTACCCAAAAGGGAAACGAAATACGCCGGTTAAACACATATGTAAATAATGGGTTGTTCCAACAAAATTGCCACCAAAAGAACTATATTACAATCGGGTGTCACCTAAAAATAAGACCAATACTTAGCTTCCAAAAGCTCTCTAAAAGTGGCCGATCAAACCTCCCTAGCTACTCTGTCACTAGAACCTGAGATACATGCCGACAAGAAACAAGTGTTAGGCCAAAAAGCCTAGTTAGCTTGAACATAACATAAATAATCACGAATAACATGAATTGAAAAATTGATAACCATGAGAAAACATTTAATCTTGATCATAAACCCACCTATACCATTCTTCTGGAAACAACGAGGGAGACCCGTATCTATGGAGAGTGGCAGGAACAATGTGTTCCTCTCATTAAATGTTATCTTGTGACACTTCAAGACATTGTGTCCAAATGCCCAACGACCTCTAACAAGTTTCACCGCAAGAGTAGGTTGACCTTAGTGCCTATTCCTAAAAATAATGTCTCAAGACGCACTCAGTGCCTACCTCCAAGGTAGCACCTCAAACATAGTGGTTCTTAGTTCATACCATTCCCAGTAGCACCTCAAGACTCAATCATCTTAGTGCCTACTTGAAGAGTTCCTCAAATCATAAATCTCAAGTGGGGATATTTATTCATTCCAAAAGTAAGGTAACACCTCATACATCATATTTGAAGGCTACAAAACAACCCACAATACTTTAACATGATCAATAAGACCAGAATTCATGAGGACTTCAAGTTAGGTCATTAATTCCCCAAAACATGATTAACATAGAATCTCAAGATTTTAAACCAAGTTTCATATAATCTTTCTCAAATATAATTTTAGCATGTAAAGAAATAATTTCATACTTCTAATATGTTGTCTTCCTTCAAAAATCCATAAAATGTCTTCCAAATAAAGATATATGACCAAATCACCAAATAATAAGGTAATACTTAAAATAAAGCTTGAAATGTAATTAGAATAAACATTTTGACATGTATCTAGTTTTACAAAGTATTTA